TAGTCTTGAACTCCTGACCTCAGGTGATCTGCCCACCTCAGCCTCCCAAAGTGCTGGGATTACAGGCGTGAGCCACCGCACCTGGCCATATTTTGACGGAATGAGAATTGCCATTGACATCTCCACACCTCCACCCTAGTGGCCCCTCTGTGTGATGTTGGGCCCTAAAAGCTGTAAGGAGTCTGTTCTGCCCACCTAGCAACTGTGTAACTGGTGGCTGCACCCTTCTGGGCCCTGCTTGCTTCATGTGAGCAAAGTGGAGATGCCAGGTGTCTACTGAGAGGATGGAATGGAAGGTGAAGGGTGTGTGCAAAGCAATGTTGACACACAGTTGTCCTGCTCCACTCCTGGGGCCTCTGGGCCAAGAGCCAGTATTCCAGTGACCCTGCCCTTGCCAGAATTCTTATTAGGACCCTAAGCTTGCAAGTGCAATGTGTTGCCCCTCTGCTGAGTCCTCAGAGCACTGGGAGCCAGGCATATCGGGGCAGGATGGGTATGGATGATGTGCTGATTCTCTGAGCTCTAACAAAGTTGGGGGATGCACAAAGAACCTCCTGAAGCTCTTCCAGGGCCCTATTTCCTGGAACATCTATCTCTATGCTCAAAGCAGCTTACTTTGTTGGGGGAGTGGGGCAAGGAATGGATGCCCAGCCATTCCCTGAGCATGCATGCTCCCTGCCACTTGCAAATTTGCAAGGATAAGAACCTCCTTTTGTTGTGATGTGTGTGCATGAGGTGTAACAGGAAGGGAGTGTGTGTGTTCTCAGTTAACATGGCTTGAAACCAATTTCAAGGTAATTGAATGAGAGGCTTCCTGTTTTCTGTTTACATTTCACTTTGCTAATTGCCCATTACAATTTCACTTTGTTAATTGCCAGAGTAAGGGGTCACTTGGAGCCAGAGCCTTGGAGAACCTGAGTGTCTGCAGCTTGGCCAGAGTAGCTACGGCTGAGCTCAGCCTGGGCAGACTCCAGGGATGCTGGGGGAGCTTGGACACCCCCTCCATGACTTGCCTCAGCCCCCACCCTCACCCTCTGCAGCTGGGACTCGTACTGCCCAAGCCTCCTGCCCTCCTCCACTCAGATGCCTCCTGCTCACTGTTTGTTTCCTGGTGTTCTTCCCCCTACCCATCCCCAAGCCCAAGCCCCTTGGAGGGCGGCCCACAGGCTCTCCATCAGCCAGTCCCAAGGGGATCCAGCCATGCTTCGTAACCTGCCCACTCCTCATTGCTCTCAGGGGATCCAGGGCTGGCTTTGCCCACATCTCATACCTGACAGCATTTTTTGGAGCTGGAGCATTGCTAAGTATTAGCTGTTCCTCCAGCTTGTGTCACTGCAAGTGTTCTCCTTAACTTCTTTCCTGATATGCCTGTAGCTGTTGCTCCTGACCATCCATTGCTCTCACATATCACACTGGGATAGATTTGGCCAGCCTCAACTTCTCACCATCCTATTTGTAGCCTAACTGTTCTTAGGTATTGCCTGAGCCTCCTCAATCAGACTCTGAGCTCCTGGAAGGCAGGGCTATGGCTGAGCCCGCTCTAGCTGCCCCCACTGAGTGCATGGCCTCACACTGAGCATGTAGAGGCACTGAGAAAATGCTTGCCAGGGGTAATCTAAGGAGGCTGTGTCAGAAGTTGGGGTAAGGGCATGGATGGAGGCTGTGGGACTGAAGAGACAGAGGTGGTGGTGTCCTGGGAAGGACGCTGAGTTTGCCCTGAGGTTACTGTGACAATAAACATCAGAAAGGAAAAGAAACAGATCAATGTAAAAATAATGAACTATAGGCCAGGCGTGGTGGCTCACGCCTATAAGCCCAGCACTTTGGGAGGTCAAAGCAGGCGGATCATGAGGTCAGGAGATGGAGACCATCCTGGCTAACACAGTGAAACCCCGTCTCTACTAAAAATACAACAAATTAGCCGGGATTGGTGGTACATGCCTGTAGTCCCAGCTACGCGGAAGGCTGAGGCAAGAGAATCGCTTGAACGCAGGAAGCAGAAGTTGCAGTGAGCTGAGATTGTGCCACTGCACTCTGGCCTGGGCAACAGTGCAAGACTCCATCTCAGAAAGAAAGAGAGAGAGAGAGAGGGAGGGAGGGAGGGAGAGAGAGAGAGAGAAAGAAAGAAAAGAAGAAAGAAAGAAAGAACGAATGAAGGAACTAGGCCGGGTACAGTGGCTCTCGTCTGTAATCCTAGCACTTTGGGAGGCCAAGGCGGGAGTTGAGGTCGGGAGTTCAAGACCAGCCTGGCCAACATGGCGAAATCCAATCGCCACTAAAAATACAAAAATTAACTGGGTGTGATGGTTCACGCCTGTAATCCCAGCTACCCGGGAGGCTGAGGCAGCGGAATCGCTTGAACCAGGGAGGTGAATGTTGCGGTTAGCCAAGGTCATGACACTGCACTCCAGCCTGGGTGACAAAGCGAGAGTGTCTCAAAACAAACAAACAAAAAAGAACTAAATAGAGTCCCTGACAGGTCACCATCACCAGTTACAGTGACATGTTCCCCGTCTGGAGTGGTTGAAACCCATGAAGGGAGCAAACAGGGTCCTGAGCAGCCAAGACAGATGTCACAAGCTCTATGCATGAAAGCTTATGCGCTTTACCCTGAACTGAACCCCTCTGTTCTCTGTACTCAGGATCCCTGCTTTTATAGACATTTCTAACAAATGGAGGCATCTGGTTTATAAATACACAAAAGAGTAGAAGCAACAAATCAGTCTCATTAAACTGCTTTGGGCCAACATTCTGACAGTGCTGAGAGGTGACAGGTGATAGTCTCCGTGAGGGATGAAACTGTTCATCTTTCGAGGGGTAGCCTGAGGCCTCCAGAAGCCCAGCAGCCTGGGGCTACCCAGTGCAGGGCAGAGTCACACCCAACAAGGCAGTGTCCTCTAAGCCCCTCCTCATTCTGTAGCTCAGTATGGGAATGGATGTTCATAGTGATTAACACTGCACGGTGATTAACACTGAATCGTGAAGAAAAGCTAAGTGATGTTCAAGACTCTCTGTTTAAGAAGATAAGGGCCAGATGCAGTGCCTCATGCTTAAAATCCCAGCATTTTGGGAGGCTGAGGCAGGAGGATTGCTTGAACCCAGGAATTTGAGACCAGCCTGGGCAACATAGAAAGCTCCCATCTCTCAAAAAAATTAGCCGGGTGTAGTGGCACGTGCCTGTAGTCCCAGCTACTTGGGAGGCTGAGGCAGGAGGATCTCTTGAGCCTGGGAGGTCAAGGCTGCAGTGACCGGTGATTGTGCCACTGCACTCCAGCTCGGGTGACAGAGCAAAACCTCATCAAAATAAAAATAAATAAAGAAGATAAGGAAGTGTCTTATGCATTTTAAGTAAATTTTCCTCCAAAAGTTAGTGGTAGCTTCCATTTCTGGCTTTCTGGGCACTTTGTTTACATGCTGTCATCTGGGAGGTTGCACAAGTTATTGTCATTTCAGAGATGAGGGCAGGTGACTCAGCAAGGGTCCCATGGCTAGTGAGTCAAAGGGCAAGTCTCAGTATCAAGGGTCCTGCAACCAGCTCCACTTCCCCACCTGCCTCTCTCCAATAACTCAGGCCCCTGAATGCTCCAGATGCGTGCCACTGTCCTGATGTTACAAAATATCCTTTCCTCAGATGTCTCCTTTTCTCTGGTCTGTCACTACCCCCATAGCAGCCTGGGGCTGCTGGGTGTGACTTTCATCCTTACCGTATCTCTCCCATTAGCACACATCAGTGGTAGGGATCATTGATTGCACTTTGGTTCAAGCACCAGATTCCTCCAGATCAGTTCTTCAGGAAGAGATGGCCGAGCATTACTCCATCACACCCATAACCCAGAGTTAAACATTTACCAAGACGCAGTATGTCACAGCCAACTCTAGGACCAAACTTCCTGGGCTCAAATTCCAGCTCTGCTACATACTGTATAGCCTTGGGAAGGTCACTTAACCTGTCTGTGCCTTGATTTCCCCATCTATAAAATGCAGATAGTAGTAATATCTAATTTACAAGGTTGTCGTAACCATCCAAAAAAGTTAATATGTGAAAAGTACTTAAAACAGTGCCTGGCACTTAGTAGACATTTGACAAATATAAGTTATCATTGCTAATACAAAGCAGTTTATATATATTATCTTCATAAGCTTATAAGCTATCTCAAATCCCCCCCTTTTTTTTTTTAAAGAATAATACTGTTTGTAAAAAATCTCTAATTCTAATTATCACAGCATCCTAGAAGATCAGTGTGAGTTTTCCCATTTCGTAGCTGAGACTCCTGAAGCACAGAGAAGCAAAGTGACATCCCAGGAAAGAGTGCCAGGAACTGGTAGAATCGGGAATCTTACCTGGGTCTACCTGGTATTTGAGTTATAAGCTTTCCATTACATCATAACTGCCTTTCTTAGTAAAAATGCTAAAGAGATTAACTTCTTTAAGAAAGTGAGTAGAAGAGTGTTCTGACAGCTTCTGACAACTGGAAGTCCCACTTTTTTTTTTTTTTGAGACGGAGTCTCACTCTGTTACCCAGGCTGGAGTGCAGTGGCACAATCTCGGCTCACTGCAAGCTCCGTCTCCCGGGTTCAAGTGATTCTCCTGCCTCAGCCTCCGGAGTAGCTGGGCCTACAGGTGTAAGCCACCATGCTCAGCTAATTTTTGTATTTTTAGTAGAGACAGGTTTTCACCATATTGGTCACTCATGACCTCGTCATCTGCCCGCTTCGGCCTCCCAAAGTGCTAGGATTACAGGCGTGAGCCACTGTGCCCAGCCTGGAAGTCCCACTTTCAAATCTCGCTTTGAGAGATTGAATCATCTGATAGTAGGAAGTTTCAGAACCTGAGAAGGCAAGTTCAGAAGGAAGGATTGGACTTCCATTTTTCAATAAGAGATGCCTGAGAGGCAAGCGTTGTCCATTGTCACTGTTCATGGGTATTCTGATGATCTATTGCTATGTAACCAATCATCCCGAATCTCAGTGGCTGAAAATAACTATAATCATTTTATTACCTCTCACAGCTCTGGGGGCTGGCCTCAGCCAGGTGCTTCTCACTCAGGGTCTTTCATGCAGTTGCAGTCTGGGGTTGGAGGCATATGGACAGTCTCCTCATTCACATGTCTGTTGGCTGGTGCTGATTCTCCTAACGGGGAATCACCAGCCAGAACAGCTGCCCGTGGCCTCTCCGTGTGGCTTGGGCTTCCTCACAGTATGGTGGCTGGATTCCAAGAGCAAGGGTTACAAGATCATAGGTTAGAAGTGCATGGCATTTTTCTGACCTAGCTGTGGAAGTCACATAGTGTCTCTTTTGCAATGACTTCCACTCATCAAAGTAGTCATAAAGTTTCTTCCACTAAGGTACAAGGAGAGGTGACATAGACCTCTCCTGGACTCAGTGGGAGGAGTGTCAGGGAGAGCATGTGAGATGAGATATACTTTGAAAGTACAATCTTCCTCACGGGCAGGCTCTCCTGGGAGAACTTGCCATTTGGAGGAGAAAGGTGACGAATAGCAAATTTAGGCTCTAACAAGGACCCCTCCCTGTAGTCACGTCTGATGGTAGTTCCTTCAGGGAACTGGCCATAAGAGACACGGTTGGCAGTAAGATTTACTGCTCTGCCAAAGCTGTCATTGAAATAAATAGGATTAGGTCTGCAATGACTTCATCATCCGGACTGTTCTAACAACAGGTAATTTGCCGCCGTGCTGTGACCAGCAAAGCCGCCGGGGCATGTAGTGGGAATGCCTGGTCACCTGAGAAGTGTTTCCATCCTCTGGAAATCTTACAGGTCTTTGACCTTGCCCACAAGCAGACATATCTTACTTCCTCTTCTCACCAGCTTCTTTTATGCAAACAAAAACTGGAAGCAATTTTGCTTTTGAAGCTCCTGAGTCAGCCGAAGCCCCAGGAAAAGTCCTGGTTCTTCCCCCAGCCTCTCTCCGTGAGGTCCCCGTCCCAAGCCTGAGAGCTCTGGAAATCCAGTTAAAACAGTTGAGAGTTTTCCTGCCAGACAGCACAAGTGTGCTGGGGCCTGGCTCCCAGGGGCCCTAGGCCCAGCCTTGAGGCAGGCTGTTGCTCTGTGCTAGACTCAATACAGTGCTGGCCCAGCCTAGCAGGCCCTGCTAAAGGGTGACTCTGAAGATGTGGAGCACGGGCCCTGGGATGGTGGGAAGCCCTCCTGTGCAGCTGGTCCTGTCCATCACTCCCTGGCTCCCCAAACAAGCCAGCTGCTAGCTTCTTCTGCTTCTGTCACCTCCAACTCCTGTCCCACTATAGAAAGCACAGCCTCCTCAACCTGGTATCCAAGACCCTTCCATGCAGGCCAAACTGATGCCATTCTAGGCCCGCCTTGCCTGTGCAGTCAGGGGCAGGGCTGGCCTTCCACAAAAGCCACAGAGCAGAACCCCGCTTCACCACGTCCGTGACACTCACACTCCCAGGTGTGCTTTCTGCTCACTGGGGCTGTGGGGTGAGGCTACAAGTGAGCAGAGGGCTTAAGGAGGGGGCAGGACTTAGGCCCTTGAGTCGGGGACTGCTGTGGCTGCCCTCGGATGTGAGCTCACTTCCTCTGGGCTGCCTCTCCTGACCCTGTGGAAGCTCATCCCACTGTGGGCCTTCCTGATCCACAGAGCATTCCTCTACATAGTGAATCATCCCTGTGAATTCTCAGTATAGAGCAGTAATGAAATCCAGACATTTCCCCAACTCCTGGGCAGGTGACTCTACCCGGAATATCCAGAACTACAGAAATGCTAACAACTGCCACCATTTATGGAGGATTTACTATATGGCACGCACAATACCAAAAGCTTTATTCTCAGTTTTTTGGTTTTTTTTTTTTTTTTTTTTTGAGATGGAGTTTCGCTCTTGTTCCCCAGGCTGGAGTGCAATGGTGCAATCTCGGCTCACTGCAACCTCTGCCTCCTGGGTTCAAGCAATTCTCCTGTCTCAGCCTCCCAATTAGCTGGGATTACAGGTACGTACCACCATGCCTGGCTAATTGTATTTTTAGTAGAGATGGGGTTTCACCATGTTGGCCAGGCTGGTCTCGAACTCCTGACCTCAAGTGATCCACCCGCCTCAGCCTTCCAAAGTGCTAGGATTACCGGCATGAGCCACCACACCCGGCTGGTATTCTCAGTTTTTAATCCTTACAAGAACCTGTTCTACAGATGAGAAAACTGAGGCTCAGAGAAGTTAAATAAATGTTCTATTGTGTCACAACAGTACATTTTGCAGCCACCACATGAATTCAAATCTGTCTCTTTGCAAACTATAGACTAGAAGCTATGAAGTGTTTCTGATGTATTCTGGGCACGGCAGACAGCCCCTGAGTCCATGAAGTCACCTAACCTGGGAGACTCCCATTTCATCCTCGATCCCCTTTATGGGGCAGAACCAGAACCATGGGGCTAGGTCGAGGGAGGGGACAGGGAAAGCAGCGGGCAGACAGGCTTTGGCTGGCTAGGAAGAGGATCTCCCCATCATGGAGGCCCAGCTGAAGCTGAGTATTTCCCTGATGGCCATCTAGAGTGGACAGGAGTCAGGTCTCAAACATTAAAGGGTCAAAGATGAAATGGGATTTCCAAAGATGACTCCACCAGGCTAGGGGTGCACCAAATGGGGGGTGCTGCTGCCCTCTACCGCCCAAGAGATCTGAGATATCTCTTCACCTCCAGCCCCCACCAGAAGTACCTTTCTTTATACAGCAAAAAGTGCATAGACTTTAGGGTCAAGTCCCTGATCTATGACTTACTAGCTGTGTGACCTCAGGAAAGTCACTTAACTTCTCTGAGTCTCAGTTTCCTCCCCTGTGAGTGGGGATAATACCCATCTGTCAAGGTGGTATATTGTCACCCTGCTGTGGTGGTTGTGAGGACTGGGGATCTTGGGTATGAAGCACTAAGTGCCCAGAAGGCACAATGACGCTGGCGCCACCGTCCTGACTCCCTCGAAGGGCAGGACCCCATAATTGTGTCAAACAGACCCAGGTCAGAGTGTACAGAAGCTGCTCTGTGAGGACCCTGCACGGTCAGCTGGATTTCCCAGTGAGGCATGTATGGGGCTTGCTAATAGGGCCCCAGGTGGCTGGCAGACACTGCCAGTGGGCGATGGCCACCATGGGGCTAGGGGTGCTTCAATGAGTTCAACGAGGAAGAGACCTTTATCTGCCTGGAAGAGGGGTCTCAAAGGAGCAGGAAACATGGGTCCAGGGGAAGGGAGGGAGGTAGGGCAGTCCCATTCCAGCAGCACACAGCTCGGAGGTGGGACTTAGCCTAGCAGGCTCCAAGGAGAGCACCAGAGCAGCTGGCTGTGGGCAAAGGGAGACAAGAGCAAGAGCTGGGAAGCCCAGGCTCAACCTTGGGCATGACCAGTGTCTGGCAGGGTTGGGCCAGGGGCACAGACAGCCCCAGGGCTCAGGACTCTAGGAACCAGAGTGGGGACGAGAACTACCAATCAGGGAATGCCCGCAAGATTCAGAGGGTTGTGGCCTACATCTCCTCAGGTAACTCTCACAACAACTCCACTAAAGCAGGTGCTGCGATCCTGTTTTACAGTGTTCCAGAGCAGGAAATCAGGCTAGAGAGAATACCTGGCTTGGCCCCAGGCCTCACTGAACCCAGGACTGTCTACCACTTTCCATTGCACCAAGCAGAGAAGAAGAGTGAGTGGGCTGGCTGGAGCAAGGTCTTGTTTTTCTGGAACCCAACCCAAGAGACCTTTGTGTGAGAACTGGTGAGAGCGCCCTGCCCTCTCCCAGGGCCCTAATGGGGCGGGAGTGCGGGGCAGGAAAGGCAGGTTTCCTGCAGCCTCAGGCTCCGGATCAGCCAGGCCAGACTGAGTCTTTCTGGCACAGCAGGCTTGTTCTCAGAGCAGCAGCTTCACTGCCCCTAGGCAGGGGTGCCCACCCCCGTGACCCTTGGTTTCCCACACTCAGAGTCACTGATGGGTCAACACATAGAAGCCACCTTCTCCCAAAGATGTGGTGGAAAGAATGATGGGATTGTCAGATGCAGGTTCTGACCCCCTCCTCCAAGCGGCTTCCTCCACTCACCATCATCCTTCTCCAGACGGGGGAAGGGTGTTCTGAGGAGGGGAGGCAGCAGCACAGGTCGGGAGCCCTGCATGTCTGCTTATGGGAAAAAGGGGTTCCCGAGAGCCCCCTCAACGATCAAAAGACAGAAGTCTGGAAACCCATGGAGTGAGGGAGAACACAGGAGAAGTGGCCACTGTGGGATCGCTGAGGTTCTTCCAGAAGTGTCCGTCAGAGGCTGCCCTGGTGTCTGGTCCTCAGTAGCCCCCTCCGCCCCAGCTCCCCAGTGCGGACTGGCAAGGCTAAAGGCCACGTTCCCACGCTGCTCCGGGAGGCTGGCCAGGCCCCGCCAGCGCCTTTCACAGCCCAGCCCAGAGCACCTCAGGGTTTGAACTGAGGGGAATCAGTCAGGTTCAGTTACCTGCTGGGAAGGCTCACGCGAATCAATGGAAGCCTCATGCTTACGGCAATGGCCGGGGACAGACGTGCAGTCCCTTTCCAACCAGGCAACCTCCTGTGGGCTCCTGGTGAAAATAGAGAGGTGTCCCCACCACCCGCACCGAAGAGCTTCCTCTCAAGACCTTCAGGCCATAGCCCCAACTGGGAGTGGGGAGGGAGTGGGGATGGGCCAAAGAGATATGACCTAACCAGGGACTGGACCTGGCTATTCATTCACAAATACAAGCATGTCTCAGTGTCTACCACCTTCTGGGTGCGTGGTTGGCCCAGGGTATGGTAGCTATTGAACACGGCCTAGAACCGACGGGAGCAAGAGAGCTGTGGGCCCCACGGTCTGCACAGTAAGGGAGAGGGCTAGACGGAGGGGCCTTGACAGCTCTGGCAGTATGTGGTTTTTGGCTATCATTTTCTGGCCTCTGCTGAAGCCTTGACTAGGGTAGGCCTGAATGTTGGGTCTACCTAGGAAAAGAGACCTCAAATAGCCCAAGCCACCTGGCTGTCATGGGGTCAGTGACAATATAGTTGTCAATCTGGCTGTCATGGGGTCAGTGACAATATAGTTGTCAATCCGTTCACAGGCCACTGTGGTCAGGGAGGAGAGGTCACAGTGTCTGGATTAAACTCACATTTGCAGATGGTGACACTCTAGGGCCCCTGCTTTATGACACTTAAGCAATTGCTTGGCCAGAAGAACCCAACAGCCTAAGATGAAACCTCCAGACCA